ATGATCCACGTTGACAATTTTGTTGATGGTATACACATTAAAAGATTAAAATGATTGTCAATTTTGTCGTTAACACGATATAGAGTAACACACTTCAAGACTGTACTAAGAATGCCAATGATGTAAACATTTGATAAATGCATGCTATAAACAATTCCCGCTCAAATGAACACATATAAGCAACGTATCGGACGTAAGTGTACATTAAACTATTTTACTTTATTTTCAGATATATAATGCTTAATTTATGAGCGATATACTTAAATTTTTAAAGATCCATTTGATTCAGGAAACTTTTTTTTAAGAATGTCGTTTTACCAGATAGAATATAGGCTCCAAGTGTTATCGTGGGAATATAATACATGCTCCATTTACGTTCGTTCGTACCTTTCGTCAAAATGTAAGAAAGCTCTATTATGAATTATTACTTTAGTAATATGTCCGTCCCGTCCGTACGTCCTCAAAACTGGTTTCCGTTCTCTAATTTTAGTTTCCTTCAGCCAAATGTCATTAAACTTATACACAATGCTTATTGCCACAAAACGCAGATCAAGTTCGAAATTGGGTGGTGTCACTTTTACCGTTCATGAGTTATGCCCCTTTATAAACATAAAAATTGCTGAATTTTTCGTTTCCATTCTCTAACTTTAGTTTGCCGCAACCAAATTTTATGATACTTATACACAATGCTTATTACCACAAAACACAGATAAAGTTTGAAATTAGGTGGCGTCACTTTTACCATTCTTGAGTTATACCCCTTTATAAATGGGAAAAAATGCTAAATCTGTCGTTTCCGTTCTCTAACTTTAGTTTGCCTCAACCAAACGTTATGAAACTTATACACAATGCCTATTACCACAAAACACAGATCAAGTTTGAAATTAGGTGGCGTCACTTTTACCCTTCTTGAGTTATACCCCTTTATGAATGGAAACAATTGCTAAATCTGTCGTTTCCGTTCTCTAACTTTAGTTTGCCTCAACCAAATGTTATGAAACCTATACACAATGCTTATAATCACAAAACGGTCTTAACTACATGAATCCTGCATCTGTATGTGAAAGTTGACTCATGCATTATTACAAGCGGGGCATCTGTGGCCCATAGACACATTCTCCATTTATTTTTTGTAAAATCAAACCAATTGATCTTGTTACTAGAGTATTTTCCTTATCATTGATAAGCTATTGAATTATTCCTGTTCGTGCCTGTATTGTTTCATTTTTTTATACTACTGAAACTTTTAATACAACTCTATTTTGTTCTGCGGGAATTTACAAATAAATGTTTTTAGTGATAACTTTTGAATGTTACATAGAACGAATTTGTTTAATGCTAGCAGTTGGAGTTATAACTGTTACTACCACTGGGTCGATACCTCCGTTGTTTGACTGTTGGTCCCGAGGGTACCATCATCCCAGTTCTGGTATGAAAATACCGTTATTGTTTAAATGAAATTTGCTTTTTAATCAAATCATTGTACATTAAGGAATATATCTCCCTCATGCAAAGCTCTGATTTCTTGTCCGAAGTTTGCTATAATTTATTTCCTTAATGGTCATAAATCTAGTTTATAAATATTTCATTTCATCTGATTACAAGTCTTCTACTACTAATCTTTCAGTGCTTTTAAATAGTTCCTTTACTACTATCATTCTTATACACCCGGATCCATAAATCTATTGCAAATGTTTTAAAGTAATAACCCAGGTTAGATATACGATGTATTAGACAAAATATACATGTATTTTAAGTATGGAATTTGTTGTAAGTTATCAGTTAAACATTTGCAGGCAAAACTTGATAAGAATTAAATTTTCGGATTTATTCTACTCTATTTATTATACTTCATATATTATGCAACAGCTGACTTTTTCATTATATCGAATTTTTATTCAGTGTCAGGGACATGTGTCCTTATGTTTAAATAAATGTGTACAAATACAACTACATATTTAGATCTAACATCAACATTCTAAAGTACAAAAAAGCCACAATATTGAGTAGAAATCCCTCAAAAATTAATTAAACACACACACATCCTCACAAAAGTACCTTCATTGTAACAAAAAGATCTCTACCAAAAACGTCATACTTTAAAGTGTGGTTAAATGTGTAGTTTTCAAAAACACGAATTTCAACCTGTGTAGTTCACGTTTTTGAATTAGACAGGCTGAAATAAAATCATTGGACTTTATCAATATAACAAATCAAAAACAACATATTTTAATCCAACACATGCAAATGTGCCTGGCTAATATCAGGAAATCTTTATTGATTGATTCTTTTTATTTTTATCGTAGAGGCTTTCTTTGTCCTTTATAGGGTTTGTTGTCGATTCTGTCGAAATTTAGAAAAAAAGAGGCGGAAGATACCAAAGGGATATTCAAACTCATAAGTAAAAGACCAAAACGAATTAACAAAAATACCGAACTCTAATGTAAATTAAAAAAAGGGGAAGCCCATTTTACCTGACAAAATCAAAAGCTCGACTATATCAACCAAATAAACGAATCGAAAACAACTGTCATATTCCATGACTTGGTACAAGCTGACAACGCCATGACACAAATCGAAGAACGACCTAAGAAAATGAATAGTCTACAAATCATAACATAGAAAACTAAAGACTGATATACATAAGCACCACAAAAAACCGAGGGTGATCTTAAGTGCGGAAGTGTCAACAAATCTTGCTTCACATGCGACACTCGTCGCGTTGCTCATGTCAGTACAATTACGGTGATACGTCTAATTCAGAAAAAGAGGACGGTACTGTTGGAACATATCCGTCATCAGCCGTCCAGAGTTTAAAAAATAACATATATACGTATTCGTTTTTCAAATCGTGTATCTTTCCTGGTTTCACTGTATTGATGTGTATGATCTTATTGAAGGTTATCCCATATCGCCCACATCTCCATAATACATCTTTGTTGGTGAATGTATATCACTGGGACAGATACAATCAATTCTAGAGTTGCAAAGTTAAGGTAGTTGTTTGCAAAATATATTGTAATATAGATTAATCAATACTTTGAAAAGGAAAATTCACTGTGTGAAATAGAAAGTGACCTTTGGATGTTCATGAAACTTGATACTAATTTTATCATTTTTAAATTTGAATTAATTCAAGTCATATCGCAATCATCTGACATGTTTTTTGATTTAACACGGGTTTAGCAAAGCCGTATTGTTTATCTAAAATTAACCGCCTAGTTGGACTCGTAATAGCGTGCTCGTCTCGATTGATGTTGGTCGTTATCAGCAACTTAGAAGATTCATAAAAATTGGAAGGCAATCTTTTAGAATATAATGACTTGTTAACCTATTATTTTTAAATGTTCCTCATTGCGTATTAGGTTTTCAATATCAGATATGAATTATGGTGATTTGAGGTGATTGGGTATTTCGGACAGAAAGGCAGTCAATCATGCATCATCTCCTAAATTAGCGATTGGACTTCAATGAAATGCGTAAAAGATCTTCAACCTATTAGCAAATTTTAAAACTCATGAGTGTATGAAAAAAGGAAGGTATGATACGATTCATTATCTAGTTCATGAAATTCTTAAAAGACTGAAACTCAATCTTTTCAAAACTTTATTCATTCTACTATTAATGAGTAGGATGGCATAATCTGGACACTTTAGGACAAAACCGATTGGTGTTACTTTGATGTCATAAACAGATTGGTAGGGACATATTTGATTTAAAAGCACATTTGTTTCCTAAAATTAGATAATAGCCAAGGCCTTACACATCATATTCAACCTCTGTATATTAAACACCTCTTAGAAAAATATCTTTATGGGCAACTTAAAGTCTAAAATTTAAATTTAAATGACAAGATCTGAATACGATGTTTTTTTTGGTAGAAAAAAGTCAAACAACAAAAAATACCGAACTCCAAGGGATATTCAAAACGGACAGTCCTTTATAAAATGGCAAAATCAAAAGCTCAAACACATCAAACGAATTGAAAATAACGTACTGTCATATTCCTAACTTGGTACAGTCATTTCCCAATGTAGGAAATGCTGGATTACACCTGGTTTTATAGCTAGCTACTTGTATGACAGTCGCATAGAATTCCATTATATTGGAAACAATGTGTGAGCAAAACAAACAGAAATAATAGGTAAAAATGTAAAAAATTGGGGTACAGCAGTCAACATTGTAATATAATCTTAATCACTATTAAAATAAATATCTATTTCAACAAAGAAAAACAAATTGGCATATAGACACTCTATAGACAAAGTATATAAGCAAAAATGAAAGACAAGAATACAGAATTGACCATAGCACAATAACACAATGGTGGGATGTATAAGTACCAAACCACGCCAAAAGTGTATTACCAAAAATGGACTTTGCACCTGTCCTAAGTCAGGAATCTGATGTTCAGTAGTTGTCGTTTGTTGATGTGGTTCATAAGTGTTTCTCGTTTCTCGTTTTTTTATATAGATTTCACCGTTGGTTTTCCCGTTTGATTGGTTTAACACTAGTGATTTTTGGGGTCCTTTATAGCTTGCTGTTCGATGTGAGCCAAGGCTCCATGTTGAAGACCGTACTTTGACCTATATTGGTTTACTTTTATAAATTTTGACTTGGATGCATAGTTGTCTCATTGGCACTCATACCACATCTTCTTATATCTATTTGCAGTTTGCATTAAAAGCATGAAATGTGAAGACCTAAAGCAAATATTGGCACAATTGAGTTATATGAATATTGATATCTGACAGATATCTGACCGACTACTGTCTTGAACATTGGATAGGTTCTATTCTTTGTTTCATTTTTAACAAATATCATTTTCACTGTAGTTTAATCTACATATTTTGTTTACAGGAATAGGTTGTTTTTCGAAAACTCTTATCATCAATTACTTTATATTCGGTTTCTTGTTATTTTTGTTACGCTTTCTTATCCTTTCTTCCAACACTGTTTAGAATATCGTTTTGTCTTTGTTAGATACAGACAACATAGACCACAATAAATAAGTTTTTAATCAAACAATGATAAGTTGTTAATGTAAGACTCACATACAAAACGACGGTAAACTATTTTTCACAATCGAACCATTTGATATCTGCATTCTGATCATTACATATATAAAACAAGGCATACTTATTGTCTTTTTGACATAGACTCTTTTAAAAGATAAACAGACTAACACTTCATAACTATAAATCATAGTAAACAGAAATGCGTGCGTTATAATTTGTAAACAAATCACCAAATGTTGACAAGGAAAACAATAAACTTCATTGTATATTCAGCAAAACCGTTTTCTGATTTCCTTTTTTGTTGATATTTCTTCTACCTTTGTGTACCCCTTCATCAAATGATCAGTTGTGCTATTGAGGTTAATATACATAATTCAGTACGTTAAAATGTTAGCCAATTTTATGCATGTTCTTCCTTTAAATTATTAACCTCTTCAAGTGAAATGGATGCCAACACACCAAATAATTTTGTCCAGGCCTTTTTCAGAAGTTCTGTGGCATTTTCTTCAAGAATTTCGTCCAAAAGTTCTAGAAATAATGGTAACAGCCACTAAAATATAAAATAAAACTATGAAATACTAAATGTATAACATGTTCTTATAATTTTTAGTATAATGCCTTAATTATTAATCCATAACTGAGATTCACAATAAAAAAATAAAGAAGAAAATCAAATGTGTTATAACAGGGAAGTGATTTGTTAGCATTGGCGCGCCTATTACTGAACGATTTAATTGATCGCAAAAACGGACACCAATTTTATGAAGCAACACTTAAAATGTAGTATTTTAATTGGTATCAGCGGACAATCTTGTGGCAAATCATGATTTCCCTTGCAAACATTGATAAATAACAATCTTCAATGCTTGGAATGTTGTCTGCTAGGTTGCTACTTATTATAAGTTCAAACAATACTTTCTGATTAAAATAGATAGAAGATATGATTAAATAAAAAATTACATATAATGTTACCATTCCCTTCATTCTCAACATTACAGGCGGTAAGAACAGCAGGCTATAGAAGTGATATCAAAAATTGGTCAGAACTGTTCTTTTGGGACTTAATTCCTCACGCTCTAACCTCAACTTATTTTTACTAAATAATGCACCGCTGGAACATGCAAATTTACCGTTACACATGCAGCTTTTCTAGAGAGTTTCAGAAAAATATAAAATAAGTAAAACTGATATGCAGGAAACCATATTTGAATTTAAGTCACTGAGAAAATTCAAACAGACGCTATTTCGATAACATCATTAAATGTGAATTCATCGCGAAGACCGCAGTTATCTACAAAGATATAGACGACCTATTCTTAAGATTGTAAAATATTTTTGTAGTTTATACAAATCCGCCCAAGTCTCCTTTTGAATAAAAATTAAAACAATTACGAAAATCACCCTTCTTTATATTGGAAACCCAAAACTTCAAAAAATCCTGATAAAAAACGATAAGTTGCAGCTCATCTATATATCTGTGGACGTGGTAGGTTTTTATTAACGCCTATTTAAGTTGATGACTTGAAACATTGTTCGATGTTATTTAACTATAGTAATCAATTGTATTTTTTTAATATGTAAATTCATTACCATTATTTCATTGGGGCCTACACCTCGCTTAGCATGGTTTATAGCATTTTTCCTCACTAATCCTTCTAATGATTCTGGATCATCTAGATTGTCAAGAAATGATTTCAAAGCATACATTAGAGCCAATGCATGTGCTTTCAATTTTTTATTTGATCTCACTTCTTCAATTGTTAAACCGTCGAACTCTTTGAACATCTTTTGTGCTTCTGGATACGTAGTAAATAATCTGCAAAGAAAATCAAGCTTTCATAAACATTGCAAAGGATATAATTTCTCTAATTCAAAGATCCTAATAAAGTTCTCTTTAGTCTCGGAGACCATGATTAATTTATTAGTTGTAATTGGCTTGGAACTAGCTTTCATTAACTGCGAGTACTCTTCTTTCGGTGTTTTGATTTTATTGTGTTTATCTTAGTCGTTTTTGTGTCTCGTACCGATCATTTGAAATTAGCCAATTGCTACTGATATTTACAGTTTGTTCTTATGTTGCGCTGTTACACCCCTGTCCCAGGTTAGGGGAAGGGTTTAACATTCAGAAACATGTTTCACTCCGCCATATTCGTTATGTCCCTCTCCCACGTCAAGAGCCTGTAATTCAGTGATTGTCGTTGGTTCATGTCTGTCTTATTTGTTTTTTGGAATTGTTTTGTTATAAATTAGGCCATTGGGTTTTCTCGTTTCAATTTTTTCACATTTTTCATGTCGGGGCCTTTAACAGTCGACTATACGGTATGAATTTTTCTCATTGTTGAAGGTGGTACGGTTACCTATTTTTGCTTACATCCACTTCATTTTGAACTCTGGTGGATAGTTATCTCACTGGCAATCATATCACATCTCCTTATTTGTATATCAATATAAAAGAAGACGATGCGGTATGATTTTAAATGAGACAACTATTCAACAAAATCCAAATATATATGTATTTATATAAAATATTTTAAATGATATAACCAAACTTATACATAGTTACAACTACATCAATGACTATTGAAAAAAAACACCTTTATTTTCTAAGCAAACCGTACTTTACGAAAAGTGCTATCCCATTTTCCTTCTTATTACTCCACAAGACAGTCCATGTCTCACTTATAACGTTTGCCTCTTCTTCAGTTATGGCAGTTGTTTCTTCTGTTAATAATTGAGCCGATTTCTCACTTAAATTATTAACCTCTTCCCGTGAAATTGATGCCAATACACCATATAATTTTGTCCAAGCCTTTTTCTGAAGTTTTGTGACATTTCCCTCCATAATTTCGTCCAATAGTTCTAGAAATAATGGTAACAGCCACTAAAATGGGAGATTAAACTATAAAACTCAAGGGTAGAATAAAAAAGCCGTTTTTTCTGCTAGTAGATATATATTTGTATGACATTTCCCTATAATTTTTGTATGATTTAGTAGAAATGTTTGCCAATCAGTTATTTAATATTTTGTAAATATTAATCATAATAATAATACGTCTATAAAAATCCAAGACGGTAGTGCGGTAAACACATAACAAAACAACTGAGAAATGTAATCTTTGCAGTAAAAAGACAACTAACATGTAAAACCACATAAAAGAAAGAAAAGCTAAAAATGGAAAAAAAGAAAATTATTTGTCATAAATTTAGGGAGGAAGATTTCCACTGGAAATTCTTATATCTAAGTCCAGATATTGACAGTTGTTACTGTTAAGTTAGATTGATTCAGTTGATATATAATGACCGACATCATTTTATCATTAACATTGCTTTTTCTACAAACTATACACCGTAGATTCACAAATCTTACTTTGTATAGATTTTTTTTTCTCAATCTATTAATTAATTACCATTATTTCTTTGGGACCTACACCTCGTGTTGCATGGTTTATAGCATTTTTCCTCACTAATCCTTCTAATGTTTCTGGATCATCTAGATTGTCAAGAAATGATTTCAAAGCATACATAAGAGACAATGCATGTGCTCTCAATTTTTTATTTGATCTCACTTCTTCAATTGTTAAACCATCGAACTCTTTGAACATCTTTTGTGCTTCTGGATACGTAGTAAATAATCTACAAAGAAAAAAAGAGCTTCCATAAACATTGCAAAATATATAGTTTCTCCTAATCAAAACTTAGATGTTGTATAATTGCAAATGAGGCAACTATCTTACAGAATCTAAATGTATTTGTATTGAGATAACATATTGCAAATTGTAAAATCAAACTTATATATAGTTACAACTATATTAATGAATATCAAAAAATACTTATATTCTAAGAATATCTTACTTTATGAAAAGTGCTATCCCATTTTCCTTCTTATTACTCCACAAGACGGTCCATGTCTCACTTATAGCGTTTGCCTCTTCTTCATTTATGGCAGTTGTTTCTTCAGGTAATAATTCAGCCGAATTCCCATTGAAAACATGTCCCTCATTTTCTAAATCAGTGACCAATATTTCAGTTGTGGCATTTGCGTTTTCTAATAATGGAGACGATGCTTTATTTACGGCATTTGTCTCATCTTTTAACAACGTAGCCGAAGTCTCAGTCATATTTTCCTCTTCTTCCAATAAAGATGCAGATGTCTCAGATATAATATTTAATCCTTCTCCTATTACCGGAACCGGTGTCTCAGTTGTAGCACTTGCCTCTTCTTCTAATAACGGAGCCGATGTCTCTGTGATGACATTTGCCTTTTCTAATATTTGTGACGATGTTTCATTTACGCTAGTATCTGTGTCTTCTTTTAAATGAAGAGTTGATGTCCCGTTAATAGAAATAGCCCCTTCCGATGTCCCATTTATGCCATTTGCCTCGTTTGTCGAATCTGATATGCTAAATATGGCATTTGACTCGTTTGTCGAATCCGATATGCTATTTATGGCATTTGCTTCTTCTGTCGAATCCGATATGCCATTTATGGCATTTGACACTTCTGTCGAATCCAATATGTCATTTATGACCTTTGCCTCTTCTGTTGAATCCGATATACCATTAATGGCTTTTGCTCCTTTTGTCGAATCCGATATGCCATTAATGGCTTTTGCTCCTTTTGTCGAATCCGATACGCCATTTATGGCCTTTGCCTCTTCTGTCGAATCCGATATACCATTAATTGCTTTTGCTCCTTTTGTCGAATCCGATATGCCATTAATGGCTTTTGCTCCTTTTGTCGAATCTGATATGCCATTTATGGCCTTTGCCTCTTCTGTCGAATCTGACATTTCTCTCATTGCATTTGTCTTTTCGTCTGATAGCTGAGCAGATGACTCATTTATGGGAATTGTCTCTTTTTCTAATGAGGAAGCCGATGTCTCATTCATACCGTTTGCTTCTTTTTCTGATATTTGAGATTCACTTTTCTCCACCTTTTTTCTTAAATTCGCCCCATTTTTATTCTTATTGTTCGGTTGGACATCCAATGTCTCAGATACGACATTAACTTCTCTTTTCAGTACATTAGAATTCACTTCAGCCATTCCGTGCAAATGCCTTCAATACAAATATGGCATAAGTAATGTTGATAACACAAAAATTTTAAGGTTTAATATGATTATTCATTTAATATTCAAGGACAGATTTTTACTTTTACGGGCGAATAGTTTTTGAATAGTAGCTTACCTTGGTAATGTAAATGAAAAAAATCATACAAAGATGACTTTTTTAACGTTTTTCATTGATCTACGTCGGTATAATATTACTGCTAAGTGTCTATGATCCCAATGGTCATTGTTTAGACTTTTTAAAATAAAATAACCTATTGCATCATATTTTAAGTATCATAATCGGTCGCACTCTTCATGTTAAGTTGATTTTAGATGGTGTTGGCTACATTCTCATAGTTCTTATGTCTATACGTAACTCTAAGTGTATTTACCTTTCATGGAATGTCAAAACTTTTGGCAAAAATTACATAAATGAGGTATGTTGACTTTCCTTTGTATTTAGTTAATTTTATAGGAAATTAATGCTGATTTGCTACGGAATACATATGTACGCTTTCGAAAAATTATTTGTTGTCACTGTTGCTTGAAACCTAATAATAGTATTTTCTAAAATTTGTAAACGTTTGCATGGAAGATACATTAATTTGTGTTTGAAAGACAGAAAATTTATCTAGTTTCGGAAGAATGTTTTGGGTTTGATTTGGAATATCCAACCTTTTTCTATTAGGATGAAAACTAAAAGTTACCAAAATCTTTCAAATTACAGTTTACATCATCTATGAAATTTCATCAGTGGATTACATATTAATAAATGCGATAAAGTGCTGTCAGAACCTAAATGAGTATACTTGAAGCAGCAAACTACAGGATTTATTCATACACTATTCGTCAGTTGAAATAAGTCCTAGTTTCTTATATTCGTTAAGATCGTACTAGAAAAGTATTAACAAAAATACCGATCTCCAAGGAAATTCAAAGATGGAAATTCCTTATACCCTGACAAAAATCAAACGCTCGACTATATTTACCGACAGAACGAATCGAAAAAAATGTTCCTGACTTGATACAGGCAATTTCTGAAGAAAATGGTGGATTAAACCTGGTTTTATAGTTAGCTAAACCTCCCACTTGTATGACTAAGCGTTATAATCTACTTTAAATTAAGTCACACATTCTTCAGGGTTTGCATGTCGCGTTTTGTTGTGTATAAGAAAATGTCTTGATATCGGAACTGACTCTAGAAGCGTATTTTCTGTCATATTTATCTTATGTTGTTTGAGTGCTGTCTCATTGACGTATTCCAAAATATGTTTTTTTAATGAATAACTCATTGTCAATATATGCAGCAGTATATTTGGACATTATACAATTATTGACTTTTGATGAGGTTAATACATTATTTATCAACCCCAGAGATATGATATTCACCGAGGTCAACGCCGAGCGTGAATGCTATATCTCTGGGGTTGATAAATCATTGCATCAACTGATATCAAGAGTCAAGAACTGTTTTATTATGTGACTTTTTTTAACCTTTCTCAAATTTCCTAGAACTTGGTCAATATATTTAACTGCTCCTTGTTTTCATACTTAAATAGTATCTGCTTTGGCAGTTGTTAACTTAAATAAACTAATAAAAATAACTATTTAGGTTCATATTATCTGTAACAAATCTTAAATTAACATCTCATTATGTTTCCCGCGGTGTATATAATGTTATATCAAGGATGATCATCTATGCTTTTAGCCAATGAGAAAAGAGAAATTTTATAGTCATATGATACATGTGTTTATTGAGATACTGATAAGAAAAATATCTTAGATCTCGGATATAAAACACCTAATGAAAACAAAATTGCTAATTAAAAGCCGTAAAGTCAAAAAGCAATTTGTATTATCCTATTGATAATTCTCTTGCAACATTAAAACACCTTCTTGATAATTTGTTCACTAAAGCGGATTTGAATTAAAGTATCCGGTAATGTATAGAGTGTAAAACCTCGTTGGGCGTCTTAGATATATACATTACATACATTGGATGGACCTTTCAATACCGTCGACATTCATGTCTTTTAAACGTGTGCATATCGTTTCTTTGGTATCTTATCAAAGAGACCTTCTTCCATTTTAGGAAATGGTATTTCGAGAATTAGGTTGAACTTGTACTTGTTAGGCGTCTTAAAACCCTTTCTTTTAAAAAAAAATGTGTTTACCGGTGTTGCGTAGAGATGATGAAACAAGTTTATGTTTTCCTTGATTATATTTACAACCAGTTAGGCATTTATGTTCTGTTCAGGCTTTCGGAATTTCTATCGGCATTAAGTTTTGTACTTTAAATGATTTATTCGAAATCATAATGAGTCATAAGTAATAGGCGACTTTTAAAACGATCTCTTTTAAGCTCGTTTAACCACAAAATATTTTGACACCTGGTTTTCCTTACATCACATTTTGTTTTGGAATAAAGACCTATCAAAGTTACCATGCTTATAATCCAGTACACAAAACGCTTGTTTTGTCTTCACATGACTCATCAGAGGCGATCAAACATAATTTAAAAACCAAATCAAATACGAAGTTAAAGAGTATGCCTGGGGTAGAAAAACCCTTAGATGGTTGAATGATTTTTTTACATTTTACGATGAGTAAACATAGGAAAATGACAACATCAGTAATATTTGCTGTCAGCATATTTTTAGAATGCTGCTGATGTTATCGGGAACAGAACTTCCACAAGTTGTCGAAACAAGAGAAAGCAGTTGTTTAACCATGTTAAAATCTCATAAATTCATTTTGAAAATGCAAACCAAGTTAAAATCTGCTGTATGTGTATGCACAGGGACCGGATGCGTCGACAGGGTAATAGTCTCCTGCTGAACATGCATCACCCATCAAGCGAATCCAGACCCAGCCAAAAAGTCACAATAGGGAACAGGACATAATGAGTAAATATACAAGTAGTCGCCTACTCTGGTGTCGTAAGATCTTGAAGCTGCAAAAACATTTTCGTTAGTTGATATACAAATGCATCGTATCGGGCAACTATTATGTGGTGGTGACCGTGAAACCTGTGTTGATTTCAGTCGATTTTCCTCATAGCCATGCTGCAGCTTTTTTTTGCGTTATAAGCACACTTTTTGTTAATGAAATCATATGGCAAAAACGAAAAACGACGACAAGACAAACTCGAACCCAACTAAATCCCATTCTAACATCTTGCTTGTCTGTAAAAGGTTTGTTTATTGCACCAACTAAAACATTTTTAATCATATTTTACTAATGAGTACGTTAATTGGTGAACAAGCTGTTTTTCCCAATCATCTTTATAAAAGTTCAATTTCGAATTATAAGAGCATAGAAATAAACGTGAGTATAATAAGGCCAGTTTTTCTTTACTTTGTTATTTTTCGTTGTGTTATTCCTTGATCTCTGATTTAATGGGCTTAAATATTTTCAACTTTTACTTTGGAGGACCTGCTGCATTACTGACCAAAGTTATGGAGAGTTCTTGACGATAATTTAAAAAGGTATGAAGTTATTAATCAAAAACCATAAGTAAAAAAAAACAGAAAATAAACTGGCCAAAAGTTGATACGACGAAAGACATAACACTACACAGAAAAGTAAAGACTGAGAAACACGAACCCCACAAAAACGAACAGTAGTTAATACATGTGCTCTGGGATAGTAATTATTTCCTGCTCTACTATTTGCGCTAGGATATGGCAAGTAAGAATTCGGTAATGTCACAAAAAAAAATTAAAAACGAGGAAAAACACAACGGGATTGTAGAAAGGATGAGTTCAAGTTTACCTTATAGAGCCCTTACTTCCATAACTTCCTCGTAAACGGCAACCCTCTGTCTTAGAAATTATGATAGGAAACGAAAAACCTGGAATATCGTATCAAATTGGAAATATATATTCAATATGCAGGTTCTGGGGAAATTAAAATCGTCTCTTTCGTTGTAAAGTTTAGATCTCTACCGACAATCATAGTCAATGTATAGATGTTAGTTTGATAAAAAATAGTTTTTCATTCTTGGTTGAAATTCTAATGGAATATAAAACAGAAATATGATTCTTTCTGACTTCCTATTTAGTAAGTGCCGCGAGATTATGTGTTTTTTCAAGCATTTTCCTTAAACAAGAAGTTTATATAATTTTATTTACAAACAAAACTGATATTGGTTGGGACTTTTTCTTCAGGGAAACATTATACGTGTTATGGAATTAGGACAGATGATTATCAACATTATGGTATATGTAGATAGAGGTAGCACGATAAAATAGTCTGCTTCTCTCCCCCGCAACATCCAGGTATCTGAGTCACCCTTGTAGTCAAGCTATTAGAGCCAAACAGATTAAGAATAAGAAACCAGTCAAAACCATAATATCAATGCTAAATCCAGTTATATAATAAATATTAAGGTCCCTTGTTTGTTATATTTATGACATTGGATGTCACTTTATTCCTGTTATTTTTTTATTTTATTTTTATTTTTATACAATTTACTTAAAAAACCCTAATATAGTTAATACTGCTTTTGACATATGCTTTTTCAAAGGTGTGATAATGAGTTCTTCAACTGTGTACACTAGTCAGCAGAACAAGATTATTTGAATCTCAACACTTACTTGAATATCTATGTTATGAATTTAAACTGATTTATTGTGTAGTGTAAAAGCCAATACAAAGTGGGAACATTGGGAAGTTATTATTGTCTGGACGTTTTTATCATCTATCGAAGTTCTGTAAAAGTATATAAAAGTAAATCACTTAAATTTGAGATCTTATTTGGACATTTCGATATAATAATTATGTGAAACAAACACAACATTGGTTCTTTATCAGCTGGTTCAATTGTAACATGCTGTATGAGAGTAATCTTTTACCCTTCAGTTTTATTATTCGTTTTGAAAGAACATTTTTTTGTTAAATTACTTTCTAAATGTTCACTGCGATAAAATCAATGAAATAGAATTATTTAGATAACACATGCTTTAACTTTTATTTGTTTTTTTTTTGTACCTGGATGAAAAAGTCAATTATGACTTTTCGACACGCTTTCCATATTATCGATAAAGTGGCAAATATTTCGAAAAAATTCACAACAGGTCGGTTTTGGACGTAATGTATTAGGAACTATGATGTTTTTTTTTAGTATTAGTCTTAAACAAATCTGAAATAATTGAGCTATGGAATTTATTTCTGCTAGCCTTTCTGCAAGTACATAAGCTTGCTTCTTTATATTTTTGCATATGATATCAAGCATCTTGAATTTTGTCTTATCTCAATTATGTTAAACAAGATTTAAACACTATTCAGTTAACATGAATTGATGTATGACAATAAGTATAAATATAGATAATTAAAAAAAAAAGAAAAACCCCAAAAAACGCTTCAAATAAAAAAAAAATAAAAATAGAGAAAAAAGGGAACAAGTATAAATTTATCTTAAAAATAATATTGCTTTACCTTTTTTGTAAGCATATATAATATATATAATATCAAATATATCTATCCGGGTTATCAGGCTAAGTAGTTTAACTGTAATGACATTCACGACGATGGTCGTTACAGAATATACGTCTGGATTCTTCAAGTTGTCGAAATTTTTTGTTGATTGAACCCAATTTCACTATTCAAATACCCATACATTTAAGAAATCTTGAAATAGTCAAGACTTAATCAATGATATTTGAAATAATTTGTCTGCAATGACATTGAATTGCACAATTTTTGTGTAACGAGGAACTTGATTGGATTAGATTTGACATTTGTCTTTACCCAGAACACGTGATTGCACCTGTATTAAAAACATACGTGAGAAAAAGGAAATCTACGTACCACTTGGGATATGTACATTTAAATTCTCAAAACCTGTCTCTTTAATCTAATTTAACTGATAGCAACAAAAAAATGCACAAAAGTCAATAGAATTGTGTAATAAATGAATGTGGTGCACAAAAGTGGAAAAATGTGCAAATCAAATGAAATAGTCACCAATATTGCATTATATTTAAAAGGTATTGCATTATACAAAATGAGAAGAATACTATTTACACTCGTATTACTACACAATAACCTTCAAATTAACAATTACGTGCATTTCGTTTTAAACATAGGATACCTGTACTTATTATTAGGATATGTTTACTATATTTACGAATAAGGAGATGCGGTATGAATGTTAATGAGAGACTAAAGGGCAAAAAAAAAAATTGATAAGTACAGGTTACGTAGCGGCTTTGATAATGAATGAACAAAACCCATATATTATAGCAAGCTATATAAAAATGTAATTACAACGTGGCCAGCACGATAGGGAGTCATGCAATGGCTTCGTTCATCTAGCATTTTATAGATCTTTTATAGCTGATCATCTTGTTTGTTATAATTTCTTCTTTTATTTCCATAGCGTTGTCAGTTTTTTTTTCGACTTATGAGTTTGAACGTCGCTTTTGTATCTTTCGCCTCTATTCTACATAGCTATTAAAGTTTTCAATATAAAAGGCTAAAACACGTAAATTTGTAAAAATTGTAATTTAAGGACAATAACTCCTATAAGAAATTACCAAGATTTTCAGTCATACTTGCAGTTTTGTACATCTCTTATTGATGATATTTTTTGGCTGACAACAGTTGTTATCTAACGGTTATAGATTTTCAGAAAAAAGCAAAACACCAAAACATAATTCAAACGTTTTCATTTAAGGGCAATGACTTCTATAAGGAGTACTTCAATTGTCATTTAGCAGCTTGAAGCTCTTATTTTGATGATCTGTGTTGCTGTTTTCACTGTCCAAATGATTTAATAATTTTCAAAAAAATACACGTACACGAACATGAGTCAAAATTGTTATCATATAAGGAGTCATCTAATAACTAGAAAAGAAAAAAAAGGGAAAAGACAGATCTTGAAATTTGCTCTGTTGGATTTTCCCAATCTATTAATGTTTTCCAGATATGCGACAATAGGTGCAATTTACCTTTGTGTGCGCTATTAGTAGCATGGCGGCCATGTTGAATAATAAGCAGAAACAGCAAAAAAAACATTAAATTGGCCCAGTGGATTCAGAAACGAAGATTTAAATACGTTTGCGACAACCATGACGTACGACTTCAATGGACCCCCAAGTGATGACAAAAGCTCATATGGCCCATACGGCAAAGAGAGCCAAAGGTAATTCATTCGAACAGATAGGTTGAATGTATGTGAGGCAATGAATCAATAAAGTATTTTGATGTGAGTTAGCTGAAAGGTCTCTTGGAAATTAGCTTCAAAGCTCCCATTTGATTCGACAAAGACAGTCCCGAATAAACTAGACGAAAATACAAGAGAGACAGTCACTTGTTTAATATTCAGCCCAACCCACCTTTAAAATTACAACAAAAATAATCAACAACAAAACAACAACAAATAAAATCCCCATAAAAAACCAAAACACTCATATATGGTTGAAGCTACAGGATTGAAAAAGAATTAATATGGTACCAAAAAAAAAAAAGACAATCTTATATTCAGCCAAAGTAAATAAAAAATGACTTTTATCACGTTCTATGTTCTAAATGTTCACTCTCAATGTTTTAAAATCCATGCAATACATGATTAATGGTATCCGGTATATAAAATACTTTTGCTTGCGTTTGAAGTACTTTAATACATTTTCGGTGTATTCGTGTCAGTAGTTGATAGGATACTTATCCATTCGTATAAACTCTTAATAAATCTGTTTTAACCGGGAATCCTCTTATTTTTATTTCATGTTTAATTCGATTTTACATGGAGCATAAGTACCAACCTTTATTGTGCTGTTATGGACGCTACTAAATTCTCTGTTGATAGATTGATAGGTTATTATAAATAAACCTCCCTCAGGCAAAACAGTTGTAGACTATTAGACCCCAAGAGATATAATCAGCTCAGTCATCAGTGCTTCTAGACTGACATGATTTATAACAAACTTCTGGAACTAAATTCTCCGTTGATAAATTGAAAAATTTTTAAAAACAAAAAGTCCCTCAGGCAAAAAAGTTGACCCTTGATTCATTTGGTCATTATTTTATGCCATCGTGATGATCTAGCTCTCCACGTGTTAAGGCAGTTATACACCATTGGCTTTCAGTTTATTGGGTATGAACGTTCCTGCCAGATGAAGGTAAATCCAGAAAAGGGCTTCGGACGCAACAATTTTATTGAGTGTTATCTTTTCAAACGTCAGATTTTCATCCGTTGGAAACATTTATAATCTTAAAAAATCATCTATACTTTCTACATGAAAGACTTTCAAAAAAATTCGTGAGAGTGAAATCAAAAGCATATTGATGACAATATTTTATATAAATTATATAAAACTAATTCTTTGTTGTAAAAAAAACCCACCAACTTTTAGATGAGAATATGCCTTTTAAGGATTTAAAAAAAAAATAGAACATGCTAATTAATTCAAAGAAGGTGCAGGTATATCCAATCATGTGTGTAATATGTTTGTATACTATCTAGATTGATCAAATCCTATTACCGACTATCACTTTACCACACATTTAATAAAATATGTGTTTCCGATTGCCATTAAAACAATTGCTTTTATATTTTTTACTGTTGTTCCGATTGTCATTGCAAAACAATGGATTTTGATATGTGTTACGTATTACGCCTACTGAACCGATAGCCGATATCAGGATGTGTTTAATAGTTTCGATTGAAATGTTCTTATTTTTAAACTATTAAGGCTAAAACTATTAAATTAAAATTTAATTTTTTGACTTTAGAATACTTCTTTTTTAATTATTTCCACAAAAAAATTTTAAAAATGTTATTTTGTCAACGCACATGGAAATCTGGGCTTATTTGATTCTTGTTAGTACATGTGGAGCAGAATCTGCTTACACTTCCAGAGCACCTTGGATCATCCGTGGTTATTGGTGGGGTTCGTATCACCCAGTCTTTAGTTTTCTATGTTGTGTTTTGTTGTCTTGTGTTGTTCTTTACGTCGTTTTATTTTCGTTTTTTTTTTTCATTGTGTTATCATTTTGTTTCCGATTCATCAGTTTGAATATCCCATTGGTACCTTCCGGCTCTTTTTAACCATGCTCATGTCTGTAGGTTTTTTTCAGTCTTTCTAGATATTAAATAAATATAAAAATACATTTTTTTAAATTTAAGTCATAATTTTTTAATTTATTTTTTAGATAATTTAAAATGTTTGTACCAGGCCCATAGTTCTCTTGAAATGTTATTGGTTTATTTTCATTAATTTCTTTCGAAGGTGTTTTTTTTTTTATTAAAATCTTAATGTAAAGATACGGAATTAATTTTTCAAACAAAATAGTTTTCAGTGACTGTAATTACTTTCATTTAGGTAATTATTGTATATTGTTTTATCTGTGGATGTTTTCCTACGTTTAAGAAATATAAAACAAGACTGCGATTCCTATGCCGAAGCATTTAAAAGGAAATTTGCAAATTCAGGTAGTGTAACTATTTCTTTTACATATAATTTGTATATCTTACTCTTTCTTTTTTTCGATATCAATCCAGCAATAATCGCCTAAGAATCTGGGGGACAAAATTTACTATAAAATGTCATGGATCAGATGTGGATTCTAAAACAAAATATTGAGATTCATGGGTTCATATGAAATCACACACCTAATCGTTTTATTACTGAATACATTTCTTATAATCAATAGTACTGGTTAATCTGATCTCAATATAAAAATAAGAAGATATGATTGTCAATGAAACAAATATCCACCAGAGACAAAATGAAGTCGATGTTAGCAATTACAGGCCACCTAATGGCCTTCAACAATGAGAAAACCGCATACTGCACAGTCGGATTTAAAACATGACAAAACGTGAAACAATCAAACGAGAAACAAAACGGCCTGAGTTATGTACAAAACACTATACGACAGAAAAAAGAAAAGAAACAGCAACCAACGACAACAATTGAATTACAGGTTCATGACTTTGGACCGAAAAGTCAGTTTTTAGTTGCTATCTCGCTTTTTTTCACATCAACCTTTTTTAAATCTTAACTTGAGATATTTCAACAGACGTCGATATAGGGCAATAAAACCTATAGGGAGAAATCCAATGATTTGGTTATATCGTAATCTTTGTAGATCTTACATTGCTGATCACTTTTGGTGGTTGCAGTTTTTATCTATCAATTATAGTTTTCCAGAAAAAAGCCAAGAACTCGAATATAATCCAAAACTCGTCAATTAAGGGCAAAAATTCTTAAATGGAGTCAGTTGAAATACTGATATATTTTCCTGTTAACAGTGTCCACATTCTATATTAAGATAACAGGCAAAAAGACGAAAGGTAGGCAAAAATCGTCATTTTAGGCAAGCATTTTCTATTAGGAGTCATCTGATAATTTTGAACCAAATATGGAAACAGATCTTGACTTTCTTAACAATTTTAATGTTTTAGGTTTCTCTACCTGTATTTTACCTTTATGATATATTTCAGCATAGTGGTCATGTTATATACTTGTTAGGAACAAACATACACATGTATTGCCTTAAAGATCATTCAGTGCAAGTTGGTGAAAAAAGGTCCAGTGGTTCCGAAACGAAGATTTAAAAGAAAGTTTACAACGGCAATGGACGACGATGATCACGACGACGACGATGAACGACTTCGACGGACGTCATTTGATAGCAATAGCTCACATGGGTCATGAACAAAGTTGAGATAAAAAGACCATTCCTTTCCTCATATAGATTGAATTTGCGTGAGAAGATGAAGTAATTAATTATATTTTGATGTTTCTTGGCAATTTCAGAAAGTTCTCTGATAAATAAGCTTCAAAGCTCACAACCAATTCGACAAAGACAGTCACAAGAATAAGGG